TCTTCATGATTCAGTCTTGGAAGGTTATATGTTTCTAGGAATTTATCCATTTCTTCTAGATTGTCCAATTTGTTGGTGTATAATTATTCATAGTACTGTCTTATGATCCTTAAAATCTTATAATCCTTTGTATTTCTGTGGTATCAGTTGTAATGTCTCTTCTTTCATTTCTGATTATATTTTTTTTCTTGGTGAGTCTAGCTAAAGGTTTTTCAATTTTGTTTATCTTTTCAAAGAACCAGCTCTTTGTTTCATTGATCTTTTCTATTGTCTTTTTAGTCTCTGTTTCATTTATTTCTCCTCTGATCTTTTGTTATTTCCTTTCTTCTACTAATTTTCAGCTTTGTGCTTTTTCTAGTTACTAGAGGTAAAGTTAGGTTGATTATTTGTGATTTTTCTTGTTTCTTAAGGTAGGCATTTATCGCTATGAACTTCCCTCTTAGAACTGCCTTTGCTGTATCCCATGAGTTTTGCTGTTGTATTTCCATTTTCATTTGTCTCAAGGTATTTTTTGATTTCTTCTTTGACTCATTGGTTGTTCAGTAATGTGTTGTTTAATCTCCACATTATTTGTGGATTTTTCAGTTTTTTTTTTGTAATTGATTTCTAGTTTCATACTAGCGTGGTCGGAAAAAGTTGTTTGATATGATTTCAATATTCTTAAGTTTGTTAAGACTTGTTTTGTGGCTTAACATATGATCTATCCCAGAGAATGTTCCATGTGCACTTGAGAAGAATGTGTATTCTGATGCTTTTGGATGGAATTCTCTGTGTATATCTGTTATGTCCATCTAGTCTAATGTGTTTAAGGCCAAACCACTGCTCTAGTATAAAACTAAGGCTACAGGAAGTTAAAACTGGCATTTTAAGAATACGGGCAATTGACATGAACTCAATCTACACAGCACAGGATGATTATGCATGTCATTAACAAATTAAGAACTATAATTACTTTATTTAAAACAGCAGTTAATTCTTTCCTGTTATCTGTTTAGAATGTGCCACTGTGTGCGTGTGTGTGTGTGTGTGTGTGTGTGTGTGAGAGCATGAGTTTCATTTTAAATAAATTTGAAGCTTCTCTGACAGCCACAATTCTACTAGTAAGTGATCTTTGGAATACTTTTCTTCTCACCAATAATAATTAGATATTCTCTCTCAGTAGCTATAGAGACAGGATGATAGCAAGAGTGTCTTCTCTAACAGAAGCACCTCTTTCATGTTTTTTTTTTTTACTTTCTGGGAAAAAAATCCTTATTGATCTTCTGTCTGGATGATTTATCTGTTGGTGTAAGTGGGGTATTAAACTCTCCAACTGTTATTGTATTGCTGTCTGTTTCTTCCTTTAGGTTTGTTAATATTTGCTTTATATATTTAGGTGCTCCTATGTTGGGTGCATAAATATTTACAAATGTTACATCCTCTTGTTGGATTGACCCCTTTATCATTATGTAACGCCCTTCTTTGTGTCTTATTACAATCTCTGTTTTAAAGTTTGTTTTGTTGGATATAAGTATAGCTACCCCAGCTTTCTTTTGGTTTTCATTTGCATGGAATATCTTTTCTATCCCTTTACTTTTAGTCTGTGTGTGCCCTTATGTCTGAAGTGAGTTTCATGTAGGTAGCTTATGCATGAGTCTTGTTTTTTTAATCCACTCAGCCACTCTGTGTCATTTGATTGGAGCATTTACATTTAAAGTAATTATTGATAGGCATGTACTTATTGCTGTTTTGTTAATTGTTTTCTGGCTGTTTCGTAGTTCCTCTGTTCATTTCTACTTCTTTGATGACTTTCTTTAGTGTTATGCTTAGATTCCTTTCTCCTTGTCTTTTGTGTATCTACTATAGGTTTTTGCTTGTGTTTACCATGAGGCTTACATATAGCAACTTATATTTATAAGTCTATTTTAAGTTGATAACAACTTAAGTTTGAATGGTCTACATTTTTACTCCTCCCTCCTACATTTCATATTTTTGATGTCACATTTTACATATTTTTATCTTGTGTATCCCTTACCTAAGTAGTTATTTTTACTACTTTTGTCTTTTAACCTTCACATTAGCTTTATAAGTTATTAATCCACTATTTTTGCTATGTATTTACCTTTACCAGTGAAATTTATACTTTCATATGTTTTCTTGCTACTAATTAGCACCCAATTTTTCCAGCTTTAAGAAGTCCCTTTAACATTTCTTGTAAGGCTGATTTAGTGGTGATGAACTCCTATAGCTTTTGCTTGTCTGGAAGACTCTTTATCTATCCTTGAGTTATGAATGATAACTTTGCTGGATAGAGTATTCTTGGTTGGAAGTTTTCTTCTTTCAGCACTTTGAATGCATCATGTCACTCCCTTCTGGCCTGCAACGTTTCTGCTAAAGAATCTGCTGATTGTCTTATGGGGATTCCTTTGTATGTAACAAGTTGTTTTTCTCTTGCTGCTTTTAAGATTCTTTAACTTTTGACATTTATAATGTATCTTGGTGTGGGTCTCTTTGGATTCATTTTGTTTGCAGCCCTCTGGGCTTCCTGCATCTATATGTCTATTTCCTTCCCCAGGTTAGGAAAGTTTTCACCCATTATTTTTTCAAATAAATTTTCTGCCCCTTTCTCTCTTCTTTTTCTGGGTCTCCTATAATGCAAATGTTAGTCTGCTTGATGTTGTCCCAGAAGTCCCTTAAGGTATCTTCACTTTTTAAAATTCTTTTCTCTTTTTGCTGCCCTGTTTGGGTAAGTTCCTCTGCCCTGTCTTCAGGTTCACTGATCCTCTCTTCTGCTTCAAACCCCTCTGGTGTATTTTTCAGTTCAGTTACTGTATTCTTCAGCTCTGTGACTTCTGTTTGGTAGTTTCTTATATTTTCTACCTCTTTGTTGAAGTTCTCAGTATATTTCAGTGAACATCTTTATGACCATTATCTTGAGATCTTTATCAGGTAAATTACTTATCTCTTTTTCATTGAAGTTTTTTTTTTCTGACGTTTTATCTTGGTCTTTGTTTGGAACATATTTCTTTGTTTCTTTAATTTGTTTGATTCTTTGTGTTGGTTTCTATGCATTAGATGAAACAGCCACCTTTCCCGCTCTTAAAAGGTTGGCTTGTGTAGGAGATGAACTTCATTGTTCAATTCTGCCTTAGCTCTTGGTTGTCTCTCAAACCTTTGTGATTGTGCAAGCAGCCTGTTTTATTTTTAATAGCTCCCAGTAGTTGAGACTATGCCAAGACTGGTCATTATCTCAAAGGAGATCTCTGTTAGCACTTAGATTCATGCTAATTAGAAGCTAAACCCTCAGGCAGCAGCTTTTAAAGAATGCAAATATATACAGTCCCCAGGGCTGCAAGTGTAAGCCTTGATGGCCACCAGAGCCAGGTGATCTGGAGGTATCCCTTGGGCAGCAGTCACAAAAATCAGGGCTCCAGACGAGTGTATAAGCTCCTTTCTGGGAGAAACCAGTGAGCTGTATTGAGGTAGAGGGAGATTGCAAAGAGAGCATCCCTTGGCCTACATTCCCTGAGAGCAGCTCCGTGTGCAAAACCTGAATCCTACCCTTAAGGCCAAAGCTCCAGGACAAGCAAGTAGGCCTCTTTCATAGAAAGGCTGCAGGTGTGTTTCAGTCTGCTGTCTGTGCAGTGCCCTAGGGGTGGTAGCCTGCCAAGAACTGTCTCTCTGTTTGTTACAGCCCTGTTGGACCCAGGAACTCAAGCACCCCTGGCCTCTAGACCCAGACGATCAAGTGGTATCCCCTCAGTGGCAGCTGCAAAAATTGCGTCACAACTTGTAAAAACTGGGGTACCGGACATGTGTAGAAGCTCCTCTCTGGGAGATACTGGTGCTCTGGAGCACAGCAGAGGGAGAGTATGAAGGTGGTGCCCACTGGCTGGAGCAAGGCAGAGGGGAGTGCAAAGATTGCAGCCGCTGAAAAAAGGAAAAAGAAAATAAAAAAGATAGCACCTGGCAGTTTAGCAAGCAGGAGATCATGGAAGCTGGCACCCACTGATTGGAGCCTAAATCTTTAGGCTTTAGTTGCCATTTGGCAACTGCCCGAAAAGAAAAAAAAGACGGCACCTGCCAGCTTTAGCAAGGCAGAGGGAGAGCAGGAAGATGGCGCCTACCAGCCTCTGTCCCTGGAGAGTATCCTAGCAGGAGCCCTGGCCTATCAGACTAATGCTTTAAAATTAGCAAGTGAGTCTCTTTCACATAAAGTCTGGGTGCTTTTTAAAGGGCTGCTTCTGTGTTGGGCTCTGGGGTCGGTGAGTGTGCACACGAGCCCTTTATGAGCTGTTCCTCAGTTTGCCACAGCCCAGCTGGTCTTGTGGGTATGAGCCCAGTTGGTCTTCAAAGCCAGATGTTTTGGGGGTTCGTCTCTCAGATGCCACTCTTAAAAGTTGGTGCCCAGTGTGGGGTGCAAACTCTTTGCTCCTCAGGAAGAAGCTCCAGGTTCTGAGTTCCCTCCCGATTGTGGGTTGCTGTGCGGGGGCGAGGTTTATGGCAAGATGGTCTCAGCCTTTTTTACCCGCTTCTGTGTGGTTTCTCTCTCGTTTGCCCAATGTGGATGGGTTGCTCCACCAGTTTTCAGTTTTTTTTCACAGGAAGTTTTTCCGTATATAGTTGTAGATTCAGTGTGTCCCTGGAAGGTGGTGACTTTAGGATCTTCCTACGTTGCCATCTTGAGCCAGAACCAATTGTTTCTTCTAATAATGCTATACAAATTAATTTAGTATGTGCTGACTATAAAAATAAGTCATTGAGGGCCGGCCCCGTGGCTTAGCGGGTAAGTGCTCGTGCTCCGCTGCTGGTGGCCTGGGTTCGGATCCCGGGCACGCACCAACACACCACTTCTCCGGCCATGCTGAGGCCGCGTCCCACATACAGCAACTAGAAGGATATGCAACTATGACGTACAACTATCTACTGGGGCTTTGGGGGAAAATAAATAAATAAAATTATTAAAAACAAAAAAAGTCACTGAAAACGTGTTCATTTTGTTTTATTAATTTTTGATATAGGAGTTTATACAAGAAATAGAAACTTTCGTCTATATAAATCATCAAAAATAGGAAAGCATGTGGCTTTGGAGGTCGCTGAAGATAACAGATTTTCTCCTACACAGTCAACGAATATTTCTGAAGAATATCAGTATTTCCTCTCTTCTTTGGTCAGCAATGTCAGGTATATGGTACCAGAATTAAACCATTGTGTATTCATGAATATTTATTAAGCAGTGAATGGCATTGTATAGTACTAAAATGAGAATTGTGTAAACTCATTCTTCCTTAAGAAAAAGAAAGTCAGTTCTTGGGGTTGGCCCAGTAGCTTAGCGGTTAACTTCGTTTGCTCTGCTTTTGCGGCCCAGAGTTCGCAGGTTTGAATCCCAGGCACGGACCTGTGCGTCGCTCATCAAGGCATGCTATGGCAGCATCCCACATACAAAATGGAGGAAGATGGGCACAGATGTTAGCTCACGGCCAGTATTCCTCACCAAAAAAAAAAGAAAGTCAGTTCTTTAAATTTTAGATAAACTGTTCTCTTTTGTCCATTAACTGAAAAATGATAGTAAAAGTTCTTTTTTAACCACTTAGTCTTCTCTTTATATCCTTTTACAGTTACATTTTATATATTTTCCAGTTTTTCTAAAATGATTATCACTTCTGTAAAGAAGAAAATAAAAACTACTTGTATTGCATTGGGAAACATCTCATTTTCTTTTCATATGTGCACTTACATACATATAATTTATATAGCTCGTTCCTTCAAAAAATATTTCTTTAAATCATTATTTATATGGTTATGTCACCTGTTTGATCCACTCAACATTACATCATTAATATTTGCCAAGTTAATAACTTGCTAACAGTGAACTGTAAGTAAAACTTTTAATGCCTATATAACTTTCCATTATATTGATATACTCTAATTTTTTGTAAGTTCTATTATTGAACTTTTAGATTTTCATGTTTTGGTCATTTTTAAAAAGTGTGAAAGACATCTTTCACAGAAATATTTACCTGCATTCCCTTTCATTCTGGGCTGGCAATTTTTGTTTAGTCTAAACCATGTGATTAAGGATCAGACTAAATTGCCTTGCTAAATTAACTTGCTCTAATTCTTCTCCCTCTGACTTCCCTAAATATAATTTTAATGAGAAATTTCATAGAAATGAATTTTAATAAAAATATTTAGAATGCATTTCTCTAGGGAAAGTTATATCTGGATGTCCACTTGGCAGCGGTTGGTTACCCAGGAGCGTGGGAAGATGCGTTGTTTGTCTTCCTATATTTCTGGACTTTTTTATTTCTTTCATAACATATCTCAGAAGTAACATCAAAGTCTTAGTTTCCTTACCTTTATTTATTTATTTATTTTTTTGTGAGGAAGATCAGCCCTGAGCTAACATCCATGCCAATCCTCCTCTTTTTTTGCTCAGGAAGACTGGCCCTGGGCTAACATCCGTGCCTGTCTTCCTCTACTTTATATGGGATGCCGCCACAGCATGGCCTGACAAGCTGTAAGTTGGTGCGTACCTGGGATCCGAACCCGGGCCACCAGCATCAGAGTGCACGCACTTAACCGCTACGCCACAGGGCCGGCCCCTCCTTACCTTTAAAATGGAAATAATATCAACACCTATCTTCGGGAGTTGTGAAGATTAAGTAAGTTAAAGCTGTACATGTAAGACATTTACAGCAGTGCCTGGCACGTGGTCTTTGTTCTGTAAACATTAGTTGTTAGTAGTAGTCGTCTCTGAGATTCTAGAAGTAGTATGGTAGTAGTGTAAAAATTATAAATTATATGACTGTTGCTGCGTACTATGTTGACATCAGAATAAGATCACGTTCTATAACGTATGGGAAAAGCAACACAGTTGGCCTGTAGTACAGCCTCAAGTACAGGTAGTCTCCCGATTCCCAAATCCCATTTCTTCTGTAGTTTCAATGTAATTTCACAGAAGTGGAGAGTTCTTCTACTCAATAGGGTTACCTTAACTGTCTTTTGTGTATCCTAGTAAATTATCAGGTATTTTTCTTCCTGAAATAAAGGCTAAATTCTTTATGGTTATGAATATATCTTTTCTTTCAGTTAATTTGAATCCATTTTCCCCATTACTTTCATCCCTCTTTTCTTCTGTCTTCCTATTATTCACACTTTTTAAATTATTGTAACAAACGTTTCAAAAGCTCTGTATGTTTGGGGACTAGATTTATACTTTATTCTGTAGCTTCAGCTGTCCTAGAGTCCTCTGATGCACTTTATAGTTTAGGAAAGTTATTTTAAATGTTCACCAAACTACTCTTTTTCATATGGGTAGGGTTGGTGCTTTTGTAGGCAAATGTGGCATAAATGTCCTAAAACAATTAGCTGTTGAACAAAGGATTTTAATATGGAACTATTTGAAATTCATTTTTTCTGTAGCCGTGTCTCTTTTTATTTATTTTTATTGATTTATTTATTTTATTTTATTTATTTATTTTTTTTGAGGAAGATCAGCCCTGAGCTAACATCCGTGCTAATCCTCCTCTTTTTGCTGAGGAAGACCGGCCCTGAGCTAACATCTATTGCCAATCCTCCTTTTTTCTCCCCAAAGACCCAGTAGATAGTTGTATATAATAGTTGCACATCCTTCTAGTTGCTGTATGTGGGACGCGGCCTCAGCATGGCCAGAGAAGCGGTGCGTTGGTGCGCGCCCGGGATCCGAACCTGGGCCGCCAGTAGCGGAGCGCGAGTACTTAACCGCTAAGCCACGGGGCAAGCCCAAGCCATGTCTCTTTAATTCTAATATAATGTTACTATGTTGTACATATTTTCTTCTTCAGATTCTCAGATACTTTACGAATTCTTACATGTGACACATTTCAGAATGAACAAAAACGAGTCGAGGATTTTAATGGTACCAGCACTTCAGGTAATTTTAAGAAAACAATTTCCTATGAAAATTTAAGGATACAAAATTTATTTTATTTTAAAGCTGATTCACAAATTTTCATTTTATGATGTTTTTGAAAAAAATACAAAAATAACCTAGATTGTTTGTATAAATAAACACATATTAAAATAAAAAAAACTAAAAGTTTTCTTCACCCCTCTGTCCACAATCAAAGATGGGTAACCACTGTTAATAGTTTCCTATTTAACCCAGCAGAGCTTTTCCTGTATTTCCTATATGTGGAGAGCTTCCTTATTCTTTTAACGGCTGCATAGCTTTTCATGAAATCTGTATGTCCTTCATTTCTATACGGAAGAACAGATATGTTTTTTCTAAGATTTCAGACATAAACTCTCCAGTAAACATTTTTATACACATATTTTGGGCTATAATTGTTTATAATAGTGAAAAACTGAAAACATTCTAAAGGTACAACAAAATGGGATTGGTTACATTGATTACATCAAAATACTCTGTAGCCGTTTAAGTTTATAAAGCCTGTATAAGATGGAAAACGTTCATTTATGATGTTAAGAGAAAAGGTAGACTCTAAAATTATATGTGAAGTGTGATCACAAGTTTTATTAAAAAATATGGATAACATATATTCTTATATGTGTTTCTTCTAGATGTTTAACAGTTATTTCTAGACATTGATTTGAAGTTTATTTCTCTCATTTCTGCTTTAATATATTTTCCAAAATTTCTCCAATTATGCATATTACTTTTGTAAGTGAAATATGGGCTTTCAGAAAACTAGATTATTCTGTATTTAGAAATTAAATGAGATTTTAAATAAATTATTCTAAATTATTCCAGTAGATTCTTAGATACAAAATATAACTGAATTGTCAGTGCCCTACAGCTAAAGACCACATGTGTAGTGAGCAAGCTGAGTTTATCACTGGCAGCAGCGATGGAGAACGCACACCATAGGGAACCGTGGGGCATCACAGTGAAAGGGTGTTAGGAATAACTTACAGGATTAAGGCTTGGGTTAGGTGCTTTTGAGGAGTGTCCAAGGAAGCGTGGCTTTGTTCTGAACTGTGTGCTGTCAGCGACAATTCAATATTTGAATATGTTGATAAATCTTATCTAGAAAGAAGGCAGACTGCAGACCGACTAAAACTATATAGTTAGTAAAGAAGGAACAGTTACTTATATTAGACAGGATGGGGGTGGTTGGTCATTTTTGTGGTCTGGAAAATGTTCCTGTTTTGTCTGTGCTCACACATGATTACAGAGTGGTCTTGTTTTTGTCTTGAACCGTCATGGCCACAGAGTCATCTTATCTGATGTTGAAGTTCTGTGGAATGGTTTATGATTAACAGGAGAACACAGGGCTGAGCTGTGAGTGCCCGGCCAGCTTATAGCAACACCAAAGCCTAACTGATAATAATAGGCCAGCTCCTGGATGTAAGGGGCTGCCTTTCTCTTTATCAGAGTGAAGAAAGCAATTGAAATGATTATAAATGCTTTTCAAGAAAATTAGTTAATATTTGACCTGAGAGGTTTGAATCTTCCTGCTTCCTTGTAGGTGAATAAGAATCCATGTTACTAGACTTATTGTGGTGATCGTTCTGCAATATATACAAATAGCAAATCATTATGTTGTACACCTGAAACTAATATAATTTATGTCAATTATACCTCAATTAAAAAAAAATAAGAATCCATGACTGGATGAAAGGCAAATTGCCAAAAAGGAAAAATATCTGGAGGGTTGCAAATTGTATTAAACAACAACTTAAATCAAGATTTAACTCCTCACCTTTTAGCCATTATAATTTGTAATTAACTTTTCTCTCTGTTGCAGTAGAAAGAATTGAAGGTTTTCAGTGTTCACCCTACCCTGAAATTGATCAATTTGTTCTTTCTTTGGTGAATAAAAATGGAATTAAAGGAGGTAAAGATAATCTTATTCTTTATTAACTGTTATATGATAGAGTAAAAATACCTTTAGAAATATTATTTGCATTTTAGGAATTCGGCGTTGGAACTACTTTTTCCTAGAAGAATTATTGGTGTATGATATTTGTAAATATCGCTGGTGTGAAAACATTGGAAGAGCTCACAAGAGTAACAATATCATGTAAGTAATATTGCTTATTAATGAATTCTATGTATTTAACCAATACTATGTTTTAAATATTTATAATTTTTAAATAAATTTGAGAATATAAAGATGATTTTGTCTTTTTGATAAATTTAGTTGTAATTCAATTTATGTCATTTTTGGTTCGTGTTTTACAGTCTTTAATTTGAATATCTTAATTATTACCTTTTTCTAGCACATATTATCTCTATTTGTACTTTATTTGGTAAAGTAATCTAGATAGTATAGTCTGGAGAAGACTAGGGTAGACTTGAGTAGGGCTAGAAGGAAGCTAGAGGCGGTGGAGAGGTGGATGAGCAGTGATGATGGAGGTATGTTTCTCCTTTGTGGCCCCTGGCCTTTGGCACCTCGTGGAGTCTAAATCGAAACTGAGCAAACCTGGGCAAGAAGGAAACTACTCAGTGTTAGGCGTTGGAGTTAAGGCTATGTTGACATGTTCAAGACAAAGAACGGTATGGAAGGGAACCAATAGTTATTGAATGCTTGCTGTATATGCCAGGCCCTGTGTTAGGAGTTTTCTTTAAAATGCCCCTGGCAAAAGGAGAAGTAAAGGATGAAGTAAAACCAGAAATAGAATTTTAAATAATATAAAGATATGGTTAGAATAGGGATAAAATACAAACTTAGTAGTTATCAGTTATGGGAAATTTTGCTGTTTTATATTTAATGTCAAAGCTGAGACTTCTGTACATCAGGCATAACCAGCGCATGTGCCAGACATGAGAAGATGCTCATGAAACTTGCTAGAAAGCTGGAAAACATGTTGGGTAGCATGATTCAGTGCTATACTTACATATAGATTAATTCAGTTTAAAAAAAAAACTTCAAAAACTAAAGGTTTAGTACACAAAACTATAACATAGAAAAACACAAAGGAAAAGATCCCCCATAGTCACAGAACCAGTAATAACTACAGTTATGATTTTGGTGTGTCTTTCTAGTTTCTTTCCTATGCATGTAACTTTACAATGATCATCTTTTAACTTTTCGAGATTCTCAAGTTGCGATATATTTCTTTCTGAAGAATTACCGGGTTGTATTATGTATCCATAATCTATTCTTTTTCTTAACTGTAAAATATATTGTACATATAAAAGAGTGTATGTAATGTATATATACATTTTAAAGACTAACACTAGAATGACCACTTGTCATATCTGCTACCCCCCTTAAGAAAGAGAACTTGATCAGACCTCAGAAGCACCTTGTGGGCCCAACCCCAATTTCTTCTTCTCTGGCCCTCAGAGATAATAGCTATTATCCTGGATTTGTGTTAATCTTAGCTTTTCTTTATGGTTTTTTCCATATATATTTGTATCCCCAAACAATATATTGTTTCATTTTATATATTTTTGAATCTTATGTAAATTGCATCCTTTGACTTGCCTTTTGGTCAACACTATTTGTGAGGTTCATCCGTATTACAGCATGTGGCTGTAGCTTCCTCTTTTTTCTTTATTGTATAGTATGCCTTTATATAACTATACATATGCCAGTTTATCTGTTGTCCTACTATGGACATTTGGCTTACTGTTATGAACAGTGAAGCTACAGATATTCTTGTATGTATTTCCTAGTGCACATATGCAAGAGTTTCTCAAAGGATATATCTAAAAGTAGAATTTCTGTGTCATGGAATGTGCACATGCTTTACTAGATAATAAATTATTTTCCCAAATGGTCATGCTAACTTATACTCCTACCAGCGGTGTTTTCAGATTTCCTGCTGCTCCGTATTTTCACCAAGACTTTGGTATTGTTAGGTTTTGAAAATTTGTTTTGCTAATCTGTGGGTATAAAAAGATTTGTAGTTTTCATCTGAATTTCTCTGATTACTAATGAATTTGAGGATTGGATTGTCCAACCTCACTCATACGAATCAGAGATCTTACCCGATGTCAAGCCTTACTAATAATTTTAAAGGTACAAGGAGTCAGAAGGCACAGGTGAAGCAGAGTGAGGGCTGAGGCATCTGGCAGGGTTGGCGCCCCCGGGCCTTCTGCAGTGGACACTCTCTTGACCCAGGGTGAAAGCCGAGGCAGAAGTGAGCAGTCACCGCACAGAGCAGGGAGCACTGAGGTTATGAAACATCTGCATTTTATACTCATATAGTTAGATAGCATGTGTGACATTTCCAGGGAACCGTGCCTCATAAATAAATAGACTCTAGGTTTATTTCCTATAGGCAGAAATCAGAAACATCCTGCAAAGAGCATTCTGTAGCTAAGGACACTCCCCCTAGCAAATACCATCGGCCCAGAGGTTCCCAGGCTTTCTCGGTTCATGTAGCCCTTAGTATCTTAGTAATTTTTTCACATTGTTGTGAGGCCAAAAGAAATACCTAATGTTCTGTTTATTAATTAGTTTCAAACACCTTAATAAGTGTTTATGTTCTAACAATTTAGTAGCTCTTTGAAAAAACAATATTCATAAATTGAAAGAAAATAATATTTTTATTTCATTCTTTTTTTATTTAGGTGTAATTGACATATAACATTATATTAGTTTCAGATGTACAACATAATGATTTGATGTTTGTATATATTGTGAAATGATCACCACAATAAGTCTAGTTAACATCTGTCACCATACATAGTTGCAAAATTTTTTTTCTTGTGATGAGAACTTTTAAGATTTACTCTCTTAGCAACCTTCCACTAGGCAATACAATATTATTAACTATAGTCATCACACTGTACATTATACCCCCATGACTTATTTATTTTCTAACTGGAAGCTTGTACCTTTTGACCCTTCTTAATACAGTTACTTATTAATGGAATGTGTCCTTTTGAGCACTGCATAACCTCTTAAACCTTGGAATCAAATTGGACACTGCTGTCCCCACCGTCATGTCTCGTTCCACATTGATGTTTATGGTACTTTTTATCAAAGCTCTACCAAAAAACCCCCAGCTCTACAAAGGTAGGACATCACTGAAAGGAATGAAAGGTGATGTAATATTGAAGTCATGAACTGCAAGCAAGTAGTTTGTGGGGTGCTTGACAGAGGTCAAGTATCACTGTGTTTCTCTGGGAAGATGTCACGGTCCTACATGTCCTGGGGTACTTTGGTAGACAGTGGGGATCTGCAGCATCAGTCTGTTTATTAGTAAATCTATTATTGGAATGTTTATGAGGCGACTAGACTGAGTCACCTGCATTTTTCTCTCCTGGGTACGTGTCCCACTGCCGCAAGGAACGTTAGCCTTTTATGTTTCCTTTTCTGTGAAATGTGGGAAGATTTTAAGCTACTTAATCAAATTTTTAGAATTTTATTTTTTATGGTTATAGGATTGTCTAAGTTTTCTGTAATGTTTTTTTTTTTTTTTTTTTTTTTTTTTAAGATTTTATTTATTTATTTTTCCCCCAAAGCCCCAGTACATAGTTGTCTGTCATAGCTGCACATCCTTCTAGTTGCTGTATGTGGGACGCGGCCTCAGCATGGCTGGAGGAGTGGTGCCTCGGTGCGCACCCGGGATCCGAACCCGGGCCGCCAGCAGCGGAGCGCACGCACTTAACCGCTAAGCCACGGGGCCGGCCCTCTGTAATGTTTTAAGTTTGCTTAGTTTGTTATATTTTTATCTAGTATTTTGTCTATTTTACCAGAATTTTCAATGTTACTGGCAAAAGTCGTTCATAATATTCTTATATTTTTAGTCTATTCTGCATTGGTACTTACATCTGCACTGAATTTGTAATTACATATGTGTCTTTATTTTTTGTTTAATCTTGCAAGAAACTTATTAGTTTTCACATTTTGGCCTTGTTGATTCTTTTTAATTTTTTCTCTTTATTACTTCTTACCTTTTATTTTATTAAGTTTATGCTGTTGTTCATTTTCCAAGTTACTTACTTAACTCATTTGTCTTTAGCCATTCTTTTTTGTAAATAATCTTTTCAGATTCTAAATTTCCCTCTATAGATTACTTTAGCTCTATTTCACATATTTTAATATGTATTTTCAATTCCATTCAGTTCTAAGCATTTTCTAATTCCCATCATGATTTTTCCTTGAGTCGTTGGTTATTTAGAAATGTTTTTAATTTCCAAGTTATGGGTTTCTGTTAAGTGTCTTTTTGTTATTTCTAAATAATTTGCTATGTACTCAGAGAATGTGTTGTGTGAATGAATACTTTTAAATTTGGTGAAATTCACATGGTACCTAGCATTGTCAATTTTTTTTTTTTTGCCGAGGAAGATTCACCCTGAGCTAACATCTGTTGCCCATCTTCCTCTTTTTGCGAAGAAGATCAGCCCTGAGCTAACATCTGTTGCCAATCTTCCTCTAGTTTGTATGTGGGTCACTGCCACATCATGGCTGCTGACGAGTCGTGTAGGTCCACACTGGGGAACTGAACCTGGGCCACCAAAGTGGGGCGCCCAGAACTTAACCACTAGGCCAGAGGGCCAGCCTCTAGCATAGTCAGTTTTTATCATTGTTTTATATGTGAATGTAAAGAGCTGCTTCTAATTATTTGAAGCATTATTCATATATGACTATTATATCACATTTGTTAATTGCTTTTTAATTATGTCATTTAAATTTTCTGTATCATTACTGAATTTTTTTGTGGTTGTTGTATCAGTTATCAAAAGAATGCTTTTTAAAATCTTGATTTATGGTAGAAGATTTGTTTATCCTGGAAGTTCTGTCAGTTTTGCTCACATACTTTGAAGTATCTTGCTGGGTACAGATTGGGAATTAGTCTGTCTTCCTGGGAGGAACTTTTGTCAATATGTCCTTTTTGACCTAAAGTCCATTTTTTTGTGATTTTTGGCAACCACAGTTTGCTTTTGGTTGGTGTATATCTATGTCCATCCTTTTACTTTTTAACTCCTCTCCATGTTCTGCATATCTCTTGTAAACAGCATGAAGCTGAATTTTGTTTTCTATCCAATCTGGGTATTAAGTAATAATTTTTTTCTTTTTTTTAACGTAAAGGATTTTGGTTGATCTGAAAAACGAAGTTTGGTATCAGAAATGTCATGACCCTGTATGTAAAGCAGGAAACTTCAAATCTGACTGTGAGTTATTAATTTTTACTTTTACCACAAAGTAAAAATTAGGTACCTATATAAAATAATTTTACTGTTTCTGATTCAGGTTTTCCATTACCTGCTGAAGTATGTCTCCAGTTTCTTCTCAAAGACGTAAGTGCAGTTTTTATTTTCTTTCTCATTACTAACTAGTTCTTGGTACAACAGTATAAATGAGCTGTGAGTAGTGTCCAAATGTGTCCAGATTTCAATTTCTAGAATTAGAATTGTGTCAAAGGGTATATGCATTTTTAGTTTTGGTAGATTGCCAAACCAACACTTTGCCTTTAAAAACTTTTATTGGGGCCGGCCCTGTGGCATAGCCTTTCAGTGTGCGCCCTCCACTGCTGGCGGCCCAGGTTCAGATCCCGGATGCGCACTGACGCACCGATGCACTGCTTTTCAGGCCATGCTGTGGTGACGCTCCACATAAAGTGGAGGAAGATGGGCACAGATGTTAGCCCAGGGCCAGTCTTCCTCAGCAAAAAGAGGAGGATTGGCATGGATGTTAGCTCAGGGCTGATCTTCCTCCCTCACCAAAAATAAAACTTTATCTACCCAAATAATTCACATTCATTGTAGGAAAAAATTAGAAAATACATAAAAAGCGAAAGGGGGCAAAAATAATCATCCTAACTCATAATTTGACCACTCAGAGATAACTGATGTAAGTATTTTGGCATATATTTTCCAGAATTTGTACCTATGTATGCTTATATGTATATATTTTAAAGTCATGGTATACATATTACTTTGCAGGCTTTTTTCCCTACTTAAACTATCACAAATATTTTCAGTAGTACATATTACCAAATTGCTCTCCATAAAAATGATAGGACATTAGGCTTCACAATTTATGAGAGCATCTGTCACCCCAAACTTTTGCCAGCATTGCTTATTTTTACCTTTTAATCTTTACCAAAGTGGTAGGCGAAAAGTGGTATTTCAGTTGTTTTACTTTTTTTTCTTTTTTTTTGTGAGGAGGACTAGCCCTGAGCTAACATCTGATGCCAATCCTCCCCTTTTCTCTTGAGGAATATTGGCCCTGAACTAGCATCCGTGGCTGTCTTCCTCCACTTTATATGGGACGCCGCCACAGTATGGCCTAACATGCCCTGCCTCGGTGCACGCCCGGGATCCAAACCTGCAAACCCCGGGCCGCTGCAGCGGAGCGCACGCACCCAACTGCTTGCGCCACCGGGCTGGCCCCTACGTTTCTTAGTTAATTAATGAAGTTGAACTTTCTTCAGATTTACTATTTGTATTTCTATTATGGATTACCTGTAACTGACCTCTGTCCACTTTTCTATGAGATCTTATTAATATTTTACAAGAATTTTTTGTTAACTACTCAGGTTATTTTCTAGACTTTTTAGTGTTTTCTGCCCCCTCATCTATCAGCCTTTTCCTTTATTGTGTTGTGGTTAGAGTAAAAGTTACCTGCTGCAAGCTGAACAAGGGCTTGAGTCGACCTTCTAGATAATGGTCTGGTATCTATTCAATTTGATTTAAAAAATTCTCCTGAAAAAACTCAGACATCCAAGATAGAAATGGTGGGAAGCTCATTCGTGGTCTGTGGGAGCTGTACATAAAGTAGCTGAGGGCCGGCCCCGTGGCTTGGTGGTTGAGTGAGCGTGCTCCACTGCTGGCGACCCGGGTTCGGATCCCGGGCTCGCACCGACGCGCTGCTTCTCCGGCCATGCTGAGGCCGCGTCCCACATACAGCAACTAGAAGGATGTGCAGCTATGACACACAACTATCTACTGGGGCTTTGGGGGGAAAAAATAAATAAATAAAATCTTAAAGTAGCTGAGAGCCAGCTTCTCTGGTAACCTCCGAGGTTAAAAAAAGGGTTTTGAAATAACCAAGAACAAATTAAATTTTTAAAAATAAACTTTGCCTCTAAGAGGAGGAGGAATATGTCATCCTTGTTCGTTTGGAATGTTATTTTGGTGTTTGTGGTTTCAGTGGATTTTTAAAAGTACTTTTGGTGCTTATCTAGTAACCTCAAAAATGCCAAGTTGAAAGTACTTTTGGTGTACGGTATTGCCACTGCTTGGACATAACTTATTTTGGTTTTTTTATTTAAAGTAAAAAAATAAAAAGAACACCCATGTACCTATCACTTAGTTTTAACAATTAACATTTGTCATTTCTGCTTCATCTGTTTTTTTTTGTTTTTAGTATTTTAAACCAAATTACCACTCAGTGTTATTTGCCTGTTTTTTTATTGCAGTCTTTTAACATTATTTTAAAAAACATGCAGAAATAACCTGCAGAAATGTTGCACAAGAACAAGAAACTTTTCCCTATGCCCTTCACCTAGATTTGCCATTTGTTAACATTTGGCCACATTTGTTTTCTTCCTCTACTGTGCATATACATATTATTTTTGATGAATCTTGCAGTCATTTTGGGCTGCTATAACCAAAGGCCATAGACTGGGTGGCCTATGAACAACAAATTTATTTCTCATGGTTCTAACATCTGGAAAGTCTAAGATCAAGGTACAGGCAGATTTGGTGTCTGGTGAGAGCCAGCTTCCTGGGTCAGAGAGAGCCGTCTTTTTACTAGCTCCTCACGTGGCACTCTCTTTTATAAGGGCACTAATCCCATTCATTAGGGCTCTACCCTCACGATCCATTCACCCTCTAAAAGCCTACCTCCTAATACCATCACATTGGGGGTTAGGATTTCAACTTATGAATTTTGGGGGGGGATACAAACACTCGGTCTATAACAAATCTCTTGAAAAGTTGCAGACATCAAAACCCTTCATCACTTGAGCATGCAGCTGAAGTATAAGGACATTCTTAAAGCTATGGTAAAATTATTAAATTCAGAAAATTTAATGTTGCTACAATATTATACACAATTGATAGTCATATTTTGACAATTCTCTCAAAACTGTTCTCTATAACATTTTTCAATTCATGTTCTTAATTTTCTAAAATAATTAGGGAAATAAGTCTATCATATAGACATTTTGTTTGGAAATAAGTCTTGTTAATATAGCAGATATATTTTCCAGTTTGCCCTTAGCTGGACTACCCACTTTTTAAAAAATTCAGTCTACCCTTGCTCTAGCTCCATCTGTATATTTGAAAAGAATGCACCACAGAACTGCAGGCATTTCCACGTTTGGAGTTTCAAGGGTGTCTGAGCTACAATGGCAGCAGCATTTGAATTAATGAACTTATTCCCGTGGTCACTATATTGGAGACAGTATCATCCAGCATATTCATTTTAATATCTGTTGAAGAACTAGTCTGATACTACCTTAATTCAACCCAGATCGGCTATGTGGTGAAATCATCACATATTCTGACTGATAACTTGTATTTTCTTTCTATTGCACTCTCCTGTACCCTCCCCTTTGGAACTCAAGGAAGAGGAGTTGACAACAGATGAAACAACAAACAGTGAAACCAAGAGTCCTCGTAAACCATCATCTTGTACGTTGTCAAAAGCTACATTGTCTGGTGCTGACTGGGATAGTGGAATTGATGATACTTCTTTTTTGGAAGCTACTGAAGATGCTGAACTAGCGGAAGCTGCAGAGAACAGTCTTCTCAGCTATAATAGGAGAGTGGATGAAATTCCCGATGAACTAATTATAGAAGTATTGCAAGAGTAGCTAATTAACTATGGACACTTACATAACCAGCCTGTAATTTGCCTGAAGACAGATTTAATAACATAGTAACTTATTATTAAAACTATTTATATTATCAACTAAATTTTATCACTTTGCTTTCCAGTTCTTATTTTTTATTGAAGTAAACCAGTTTTATTGAAAATTAGCTTTCGTGTATTTAAATTCAGTAGAAATCTCCTTATTGATTAAATGTTAGTCTGTGTTTACATCAATTTAATTTTGCATGTTTATTTATAGGTTAAATCTCTTTCTTTTATATGTCTGGGGGCTGATTAGGACTAGGTGTCAACATTTTAAAACTTATTAAGACAATAACAAAAAAGTTAATTATGGCCTCTAAAACTACTATACAATCAAACTGATGCCTCTTAACATTGTTCATTCACTTAATTTGAATGACAAAGTAATATTAAATCCTGATGACAAGGCCATACAACCAGTCTGAACAATTAGAGAAGTTTACTTTTTATTATTATAGCAACATTCTCAGATACATTAAAAAAAGAAATGTTCAACTCAAATTAACAGTAATAAAGTTGGGGTTTTCTCCCCTAATCTCCTTTGTGGAAAAATGAAGTAAAAATATATATCTCCCCTTTTGATTTTTCAAAAAGAATTTTTATTTATAAAAGTACAGTTTCAGAAGGCAACAGACTACCGGTAGCATGAGACTAATCTTTATATAGGCACATATTAGAAGACTGGTCTTCTCATTCCTGGTCAAGTAGCTTCTCTAATTGATGGTTGATATGTTGCAGATGGTTTTCAGCTCCCAAAAGGGTTCTTGCTTTGAATAACAGAGCTGGAAGGCTGGATGAATCGTACTGTTGAAGGAAAATTATTTAGATTAATAAATATCAAAAACTTATAACCCTGTTTTACATAGTTCAACGTTATGACCAAATGCCAACTGTAATAGAGCCTTCTATTAACTACGCTTCATTATTCTAAACTAGGACCATTAAGAAAATTGGTTTTAATCCATAATTGATAAATAAGGTTGCAAGGGAACCGCTTTGCAAAGCTTGAGCTGATCTCATCCCAGAAGACCAGTTGGTTCAAAGAACTGTGGCATCTGAATTATTTAGAACAGAAAAGCATACTTGGGACAGGTCAAGACTTGGTTTGGGCAAGTCTGCTAGAGCTCTGTGGGTTCTGCTTGATCTCATGCCTATTTTAAACACAGAAAACTGTGAGGCAGATTTACTTTTACTGCAAAAACTAATGAAATGAGAACACCAGGTCCATAAAAGTTCATGAGAAAAAAATCTCTCTAGAAACATTATTTATTGGGAAGATCAACCAAATGCCTTAAAAGTTGCCAATCCAAATGTTCTTAATGATTAAAGACAAAATTAGACACAAACCCAACATAAAATAGAAAACAAAACCCAACTCATAATTTTGAAATAATTAACAAAGCCAAACTTTGTGTTGCAAATTGTATCTAAGGGTGAGTGACTAAATTCCCCTAACAGAATTTTGTCATACTTATGATAGTTTGTTGTTTAATATGTTTTCAAGGTGGTTTTCTTAGAAATGAAAATTGAACAGAAAAGCTGTCAGGCTATGACTACCACCCACCTAACAATGGAATTCTCTCTAGAATATAACCTACTACATCACTATGGAATTCAGTTTAACAAATATTTGAGAGCCTAATGTGTTCAAGCTACCTGCTCTCGGAGGGGGGAGGGGGGAGAACTAACAGGTGGTGCTAGATTTTTAGTTTAGGAAAAGATGTAAGGCATGTACCCAAATAGCTACACTCTATAAAGCAAAAAGGAGAGATGCCATAATGGAAGTACAGAAGGCACTGAGGGCATCCAAGACAGGATGTCAGTAAGCACAGTGTATTCCAAACAAGGTAGAATCACTAAATCAAGTTTCCACCAAAGTTAGGATGTTCAGATTCAATCAGTGCTATTGTTAATTTCTCCAAGTTTAGTCACCAAATCCCCAACTCCAAATAAGCTTTAGACTAGTTGGGAACTGGCACAGAGAAAAATAATTTAAAAACATTCTATTTCCAGATATCTAATATATGAACCAACCTTAGGCTCAGGAGAATTACCTTTTAGATCAGTGTCAAAACCTTAAAATTAAATTTAGAAGTGAAGAATACAAGTGTGATCGTAAGACAGTTAATACATTTTATATAAAACTATTGGGTATACAATTTTTTTCCTGTAATTTAAACACTTCTATTAATCTGAGGTGGTTATCGTAACAGTAGCAAAGTCTGCAGCAAAAATCCAGAAGCAACTACAAAATATATTAAAACAATAATATGCCACACTTTTCCCTACTAATGCCCTTTTCATGTTTCTCAACTTCTAAAATTACACCTACCATTTATATGGGATAATGGCTTGTTTTTTAGATACAAAAGATACCACAAACATGGGCTGAACAAAGAACAAAAAAGGTTGGTCTTTAAAACACGTCTGAGTGGTCTTATGTGGATGACACTTTTAATAAAGCAAAGCATAGTCGTTCACTTGAAATTTGTACACAGAGGATACAATTCCCTTGATGAAATTCAGTTCTCTGAAGCATAAATGCCTGAATAAAATCAATGTTTCTGGATTTTCCTCTACTCCTCTAGCCTTAATTAAGTAGCTAAAGAAGTGATATAACAAATTTTCACTGATTTACAGCAATGATGTTTTGGGTAGACTCGAATATTGCATCGACATTTCTCTTTTTCTCTTTCTGCAAAGCTTCTGGTCCTCTAGCCTGCAAATGCCCTTTACGTTCTGAAGCACAGTGAGAAAAGTAAAATTCAAAGTTACCGTTTCCTTTACATTCGGTTCTTTCTTGTGAATATTTGAATAATCTTGATGAAGCTGTTTTAAATTAGATAAGAAATATGCTGCATTTCTAAGGGAAGATTTTCTTTCCTTAAGTTCATCATATTTAATTTGTAGTTGTTTCAGCTGTGGTTCTAACCTAAAACAAAAAAATATTTTTCCCGAAAATAAATGACATATAATAAACTGTAGCAGCCTGTTATGTATGAGACTGAGTACATAAGTACACTGAGTGCAGCAAGAAACAGCAGGGGAGGTGGACTAGATGGTTTAAGAAATCTTCGGCTCTGAAATTATGAATGTGTGAGAGATTCTAGATTTTAATTTAAAATATAGAAAAAACTCTGAAATACGACACAATGAGTAATTAGCAATGAAACCCACAGAAGAATATGCCTTCTATATCCTAAAATTCATCAAATCATTTTTAGGGCCTTGGGAACTACTGAATTAAAACCTTTACTTAGTTAACATTCTAGAACCTCAGGCAGGCCTTACAGTTGAACGGCAAAAGCATGGACAAAAAAGCCTTCCCTTTACCCCTTCCTCTTATCAAAATCACGTCCATTTTCCAAGGTCCAGTAAAACCAGTGGGAAAGCTATCACAGTGCCTGGATGAAAAATGTTGACCTTGGGCAAACTGCTTTCTCTCTCCATGGCTTAGTTTCATAACTATAAGGGATACCTTGGATTTTATGGACCAGTAAATAAAAGGAGGGGGAGAGCTGCCAATTTTTTATTCCCACAAATAGAGATATAAAAAACAACCATCCTCTAACATATTGTACATTGAACCAATGCAGCATTCTGGAAGGCTCACTATTGTTCTGGCAGGGTTGTGGTCTGGAGTGCAGACATCAGAGCCTGGTTCCCCCACTTCCCAGGGTGTGACTGTGGGGAAGTTACCTCCCCATGCCTTAGGCTTTTCACATGTAAAGTTAAAATAATGATATACCACATTTTTTTCTATGCCTTTTCAAAATATACTTCTCAACTTCTAAAATTCTATCTTGAAACAGGAACAAAAGAGGCTGATCTTTAAGACATGTCTGAGTCTGTTATATAGCCAGAATAACCTACCTCGCAGGATTATTATGACTAACGAGTTTAAAGCATTTAGGACAGTGCCCAGCACACACAGGAAGCTATTTAAGTGTTAGCTATCATTATTAGAGTATCTTTAATATTCTTATTTTTGCCTGGGCCAGTGAAAGCTCTATCATGGGCCAGCACGTGTCCATACATAGACTAGATTTGGAAGCCAGTGGACTAGGCAAACAATTTCTCCCTTCTTCTAAACTCTGTGGCAGTCTCTTCTTTAAAACACTACTTAATTATAGGCTGTCTTTTCTGATAATACCACTTTCTCAAGCTCCTTTAAAGCTCCTTTAAGAGGAGAGCATATCTGATATTGCTTATTCTTCCACTGCTTTACTACCAACACTCCAGCTCACAAAACAGTCCTAACCGTTTAGAAGAGCACCAAAGAATACTGGTTGGTTGACCGGCTGATGTAGCGTGCACCGGTCTTCCTAACCAGACCACAGGGACGGCCCTGGCAAAGTCCTCCTGGCCCAACACGCGGGAATGGATTCACAGGAGCACCATGCCAAGGTATATGTTTCAACAATAACAACAAAAACTTAACACTTACACAGCACTTACTGTATGCCAGTCACTATGAAGCACTTTCTGTATATTCATTTAATTCTCACAACACCCTGTGAGGTGTGGGTTTTATGCTCATTTACAAATGAGGGAACTGAGGCACTAGGAGGTCAAGTGACCTGCCCAAGGTGGCACAGCCAGTAAATGGCAGAGCCTAGATTCAAACCCAGGCAGTCTAGTTCTAGAGTTGATGCACTAATCTCTAATTAGGCTGCCTCTCAGGCCAGAGTTGAGAGATCTGATAGCAGATAGATGAGTGCCAAATTCTCCTACGCTAAAAGCTTCTCCAACTTGGCAGCATAATCTACCTTCACTGAGCTTCCAAGTTCAAAGGAAACCTGGGGTTTTCATGAACACAGCAGCAAGTGTTACTAGCCCCACATGACGTTATAATTAAATCCTTCTAGGTAAGTTCTCTGAGGATTCTCATATCTTACCGAAGCAGTTCATCCTGGATTTCAATCAAACGCTGCCTTTTCTTTTCGGTATCTGAAATCACCTAAATAATACAATAATTTGTTAAACTGATTTTGCAAATATCTGAGCACTGCAATGTACACCGTACCAGGTATTGGAAATACAGTGAGAAACCAGACCGACCCCATTCTTACCACCACGGAAATTTGGTCTAACAGGGAAGATAGGTGTTACATACAAACAGTATGTAGTTACAACTTGTGATATGC